AAAAAAAAAAGGCTTTTTATTAAGGGGAACTCTACCTTTGCACTTGTAGCCCTGTTTGATGATTCCCCAAAGCTGCACATGCACAGAGAAGAGAGGCAAAACAACCTTATGGCCACAAGACTTGTGCAACAAAAGGGATCCTGGACCAGCCAGAGCCCTGCAGTAACACACACACACACTACCAGCTCAGAGATACCCACAAATCCAGCGCAGTGCTCGCAGAAGGTGGGCTTCAGGTAGGTCATCTCTTGGAAGTTGTGGCTGAACCCCGGGCCCATCTTACACTGGAGCAGCGGGTTAGCCCGGAGAAAATAGGCAATCATCTCGTCCTTGCCGATGAGCCCGTCTCTGAGGGAAAGATAAGGAGGGAAGATAAAAAAAAGCTCCAGTCGGGAAAAAGCAAAAGATTTACGATTCATTTTCAACATCTGGGAGCAGCTTTTTAGGTCATATTCACGTTACACTTGCAATTCTTTCAGATGGAAGTTGAATCAGGAAATTTAACATAAGGAAACCTAATTTTTATTCTGCATAAATTGTATAAAAGGACATTGGAGTCCCGGACAGAAAGCCCCAGAAGTGCAGCACATCTCAGGGTGGAGTGCTAGCTAACAAACGTTATAGAAAACATTAAAAGACTGTCAAATTTACTGTGTGTACAATGAAAATAAAAGGTCTAAAAGTTCCATCGGCCTGTCCTGCTGTGCTCAGCTTCTCCCACCGGGGGGCGCCACAGGGCAGGCCTACACATGCCCCACCTGACACAAACCTCCCATTTAAACTTCGAGGTCTCTCCCAAACAGGCCTGAACAGGCAGCCTCTCATTGGCTGGAGCTAAGCCCCATTTCTCACCTCGGTGGTCCCCAAACTAAAGGCTGAGGCCCCACAATCAGGTGCAACAGGTTTAATTTGTTATGATTCCACTTATTTTTCATTTTTGGCTCATTGTATTATGGGGAAACAGCGCCCTCTCTCGGTGGTCAGTCGCGATAAGCGCAGTGTGCACAGCTACCTCGTCTCCATTATACGCGAGACGGGCGCGAGGTGAGTTCTTCGCTGTTAGCACAGTGATAAAGTACGGTGTTTTATAAGCAACTGTCAATTATATGAGCCCTAGCTGGATGAATTGATGGCGAATGAAGTACGACGTACATTTTCTTATTGTTATAACACCGTGCTAAATCAATATGTTTGGAATTTAACAGCTAGCTTGATGCGAATGTACAATTAGCTTGATGCTAATGCTGTTGCTCGTAGAGGTGCGGTTGCCACTGTGAAGAGCCCATATGTGACCAGTCCTTATTCTGTTCCACGCAGATTAAAGGCATCGTTCAACATATACCCATCATTAAAACACAACGCAGAGGTAATATACGACGATAAAGAGGAAAAGACGAGAACAGGGCCTCTTCTAGCTGGACCGAGCTGTGGCTCCACACTTACTGGTCTTTGTCCAACACGCAGAACGAGTCCAGAAAGGGGAAGTTTGCGGCCACGCTCTCGAAGTCCTCCTGGGAGATGTAGCCGTCGTGGTCGTGGTCGTAGTTCCTGAAGACAGACTGTCCAAAGGCAGTGAGGTGAGCACCCCGGACGGGTCACATGGCTCACCCCCGGCCTGTGCTTCTACTCACGTCCACCACTTTCTGGATGTGTTTGTTGACCACAGAGGGGTCCGGTTTGGTGGTGACCCCCGAGGCCCAGTCCAGGGGGGCTAGGGGCTTGTTGGGAGTCGTCGGAGAAGTCGGCTTTGAAGGCAGACGCACACAAAAACCTTCATTAATGCACAGTGAGAACACAAAGGGAGAAGAAATCTCGTGTTTCATTTTGAATTCATCTAGAAATACTTTTTTTTTTAGCTTAATGACTCAAAAACTCCAGCCGCAATCATCTTCTAGAAGTTGAACTTACAAGGGATTTTGGGTTACGTGGTTCTCGCAGCAAGGACAGCTCATAGATTTCATCCTCTGAGTAATAGAGGTCCAAGGATAGCTGGAAAAAACACAAAGGTCTGGCTGTCAGCACCTGAGCTGTGGTTGGACTGGACTGGACTGGACTGGATGGGGGTGGAGCTGGGCTGGTTCCTCACCGTCAGCAGGTGGATGAGGTCCATGTTGGGCTCCACCTGGGCAGCAGCGCTTTGCAGGGACACCAGCTCGTTGAACGTCACGTACAGCTGGTGCATCTTCACCATGTTCACCTCGTTGCTGTCACCAATCCAGTCCGGGAAGACCACGTGCACCGCGATCAGGTCCTTCAGGTGCACGCCCAGGATGGGGATCTTAAAGCCCTGGCACTCGCCGAAAGCCTTTCGATAGCAGGAGTAGTTGTTGTTGGAGGAGACCAGGTCGGTCATCTCGTTCCACATCTGGCAGGAGGTTCGGAATCAGACGGGAAGAAGTCAGGAGATGCAATGTGGTGATCCAGGACCCCGACCAGCATTGTGACAGATGAAGAAGGAGTCAACAAACGATGGATTAGCAGTGATAAAAGGCTCCTGTTGGTGAGACCCGAGTGGCTCCACGTGGATACCAGACTGGATCTGAAACCCAGCTCCAGACCAAAGAGAGTCCAGCTCGGCACCAGAACAATGTGAGGGTTTTTTCTGGCTAATATTTTAGTTTGACACGACGGCCATGACCTTAATGGTGGATACATGCTAGCACCGTGTCCATCATTCAAGCCACAAACAACCTGACGGATTTCAGTCCTGTGATGGACCTCCAGAGTCTGTGTATTCCCACCAAATAAAACACTGCCCATGTCTAGTGCCTTCACAGCTGATTAGGAAGTGTGCCAAATCAGCCGTGCGCACACTCTCCGCTTCATCAGGCAGCACAGCTCTGTGGTTTGTTATACATGAAAATGGAGCGTATGCACATCACAGGATTGTAATTGTTACATGAGCAGCTGTGAACTTTTGGCCTTTCAGGACAATGGAGCGCAGCGCTGGGAAAGGCAGGAATTCAGCAAGCGTCTGCTCAGCAGAAGAGCTCAAAAAGGCCCCTCATCACACCAAACCAAAACCAGAAGGAAAACCCCTGAAACGTCCCAGCTAAAAAGCTCGGATGTCCCGGGTCAGACTCACCGCGTGTCACTCTGAGCTTCGCTTTGAACCGCAGAACTCACCTTCACAACCTCTGGGGCCAGGTAGGCGTGGGTGTCCTTCAGGCGGGATATGGCGCTGTGGCTCAGCCCCCCCACCACCGCCATCAGAGTGTTGAAGTTCTGGAGGAGCAGCAGTTTCTGATGACAGCAGGGAGAGCGCTTTCAACCCAGACATTGAGGACTCCCTTTGCCCCCCTCCCTTCCCAAGAGAACAAAAACACGTAGTGTGGAGCATCACATAAAAATGCAGCTTTCTCAATGGAACAAGAAGAGAAGCTCATCTAGAGTCCCCCCCACAGTAGCTTTTTCTTCTTTTTGTAACGATCGCGTGTTACTCCAACTGTGCCGAATGCGAGTTTACTGTCCTCCGTCTGCCCACCGAGGTCCTTAAACGCATCATTTCGTGCACCTGAAACTGTTTTCTATCAAAGGCAGCCTGAGCAAGGTCCTGTTTCAAAGGTGTTCAGCAGAAAGCTCTCTGCTGGAAAGGCTCTTCCTACCTGAGCCACGTGGATGTATTTGGAGATGACCTCTGCTCGGGTCTGAGGAGTGAGCTTGCTGAGCACCATCAGCTGGACCCACTGGGAGACGCCGTTGAACAAGGCGATGGAGCGCTCCAGAGTGGGGTTGTCCACCAGACAGCCGTGGATCACGTAGCTCTGGTAGTCGGTGAACTGAGGACGGGTCGGACAAAAAAAAAAAACAATGGTAAAAACCTTTGCTATCCAGCTGTTTCCTGCTGTACCTGTTCTGATACTGTGATGCTCCAGACGAACTGGAAAAAGCCACCAGTCAAAAGTTCATTTAATTACCTTTAATTAATCTGCTGGGAGTCATTTTAACACACACACTACCAAGCTTTTAAAGCCTCTTCTTAGTTTACCAAAGCAAACACCTTAGAGCATTGCTCAAGTCTCCCGCAGGTAAATAAACCTTGGAGTGTCCATTGAGTTGCTTCTCATTCTTTATGTATGTATAAAAGAAGTAGATGAAAGGCTTTTTTGAGCTGCCTCGCGCTCATGAACTCGGGGTGTTGGGACCTTTGGTTCACTCATCAGGGTTTAGACACCCGAATGCTCCTGAAGAACCTGATCTGTGAGAAAAACGCACCGATATCCTTCGGATGGACTTGAACTCCAGGAAGGTGAGGTGCTCGGCCAGCTCCATGGGCTCCAGGTGGTCGAACAGCAGCGAGGCCTTGCCCTTCTTCACCTGCTTCCTCCGCTGGGTCAGCTGCCTCATCCAGTCGTAGGAGGGGCTGCGGGGAGAATGTTTTTCACAGGCTTTTGTGAATCCTAATCCCAAAGAAAAACCGACCAAGCGCTCTCTAACATTGGATCGGCTGTAGATGGTCAGTGATGTGTTTTCTGTTCCATCTATTCCAGATATATTTGTTTCTGTTCCTATCCTAGCACAGCTGTTGAAGCTGGAAATAAAGGGAGTTGGCTCTGGCCTCTCCTCTTTATTTTCCTACTTATCTTAGTTTTTTGATGACCGGTCAGTTTTCAGGTGACTCCTGCTGGGATTTGTGCTTTCATCTTTAGCCTCACATAGTACTTCAGTGTGTGAAGGGTGAATGAATCCCCCCTTATGCCCCCTGTTGCTGTGTTGTGATGCTGTCTGCAGCGATCCAGATGTGCTTACATGGCGGAGATGTCGATGAGCTTGAAATGCTCCTCGCAGCCGAGCTGAGCCGCCACCTCCCTGAACTCCTCGGTAATCCTGATCAGTCCCAAATCCAGGTTGAACTCGGCAGGAAATGTCACTATCCAGTACCTGGAAGCATCCACACTTACATTTCCCCAGGAAACAGCTGGCCCCTGCAACTACACTGGTCTCCACAGATCACCACGGATCCCCACAGGTCCCTACAGGTCCCTACAGGTCCCCACGGATCCACACGGATCACCACAGGTCCCTACAGGTCCCCACGGATCCCCGCGGATTCCCACGGGTCCCCACGGATTCCCACAGGTCCCCACGGACCCCCACAGATCCCCACAGGTCCCCACGGATCACCACGGATCACCACAGGTCCCCAGGGATCCCCACAGGTCCCCACAGATCCACACGGATCCCCACAGGTCCCCACGGATCACCACAGGTCTCCACAAATCCCCACGGGTCCCCACGGATCCCCACGGATCACCACGGATCCCAACGGATCACCACAGGTCTCCGTGGGTCCCCACAGGTCCCCACGGATCCACACGGATCACCACGTCTCCATGGATCCCCACGGATTCCCACAGGTCCCTACAGGTCCCCACGGATCCCCATGGAGATCCCCCTCACTTTGCAAAAAAAAAAAAAAGGGTCCTTTTACTCAGAAATGCGCTACTTCTCAACACCCAAAAGAAGAGCTGTCCCTAAATCAAAGCATTTCTGGTCAGTCTACTGGTCAGCATTGTTTAAACATTGGCGAGAAGCAGGGGGAGACAGAGGAGGAACCATAAAACGATCTTCATTCACTCATCCATTTGTGCCTGAATGCAAAGATTGTGTGCGTGGGACCCACCTCATCAGGTAACAGATCTTTAGCCGGGTCCTCTGGGCGCCGTCTCCTCTGCAGTCTCGATACGTGGGGCTGGGTTAAGGGCTCAAACAAGATCTGACACACCCTCATGCACAGTCAGAGCACCAACAGACAGAGTCCGTCAGTGAGCTACAGTTAAAGGCTGGAAGCCAGAAGGTAAGAACGTGTTCCTGCTCTGCTACTACTCTGCATTGTGTTATTTCTGTCATAACTTCTACCATTATCATTAGTATTAATATCATTGCCATTTTTCATCTAGTCTACGTGTTGCTGTGTTGGCCGCCCACCCTGAGCCATGGTTCTGCTCCAGGTTTCTGCTTGTTAAAAGGAAGTTTTTCCTTCCCTGTGTCGCCTAGTGCTTGCTCATGGTGGGAATTGTTGGGTTTCTGTAGTTAACTTCAGAGTAGGGTCTGACCTGCTCTGTTTGGAAAGCGCTGTGAGACAACTGTTGTTGTGATGTGGCGCTATATAGATAAAATTTAATTGAATTGAATCGAACATAGCTCCGGACGGTACAGACGGGATATGTGGTCAGCAGCTTTCCGGCCAGCTCGGAGGAGCTGAGGTACCAGCGGTGCATCAGGAGCAGGGTCCGAGGGAGCCGGTCGGCGTGAAGCTCCCCGCCGTCGTCTGCAAAAGGAAGGGGGGCCACACATTTTCAGCCATGCCAGGAACTTTCTGATGGTCCAGTCAGAGCCCAGACAGCCGGTCAGTCTCGGACGCACATTCCCACTCACCGAAAGCGCTAACGCACTCCTCCAAGAGGGCGTCCAGAGAGGCCGCCTTCCCCAGGGTGGAGGAGCCCATGGTGCCGAGCTGTGGGGAGGCCCAGGTCAACGCTGGCTGCCGGGTGGGGCCGCCCTGTCCGGAGAACAGCGGTCAAGCCGGTCAGAGGAGAGCCACAGAACCTCTTCATCATGTGTCACATCGCTCTGTGTTCAGGTGGTCCCACGATGTGGACCAGGAGCAGGTCTAAGATGCTGAGGACTCCCCTCCATGGACCCAACACGTGTCACCATCCCTGGACGGGCTTCTGGTTTTTGCGATAAAGCTGCCCAGGTGCCGAAATCCCACAGAAAACAAACTCATCGGGTTTAAAGCAGGACTCACTTCTTCAGCATCTTCCACTCAGACGGAACACAGCAAGTCATGGAACAGTACGCAAAAACCTAAATACACAACAGGG